TTCAAGATAAAATCAAGCCTGATATTTTGAACGGATTGCCATATTACTCAACAATCATACAATAGCATCCCTTGCGATGAATCAGACGATACTACTGTAAGCCCAAACTTGATTTTAAGGGATTAGATTATTTTGCGAATGCAATGTATATTCGAAATCACATATTACGAAAAAATATTTGAATTCCAAACCTCAGTGAGGAGATGTAAAGAATATTTTCCGGAACGGACTTCTTTTTCATTGAATGCAATGCTCAGCTTCGCGAAGCATTTATTAAGATTGGTATCTTCATTCAGATTATTGTGTTCTGCTGCATAGTATGTACGACAAATAATCAATTGTTCCATTGTAATTAACAATTCAACATGTATTTCCAAAACGAGAATAGTACTATGCACTATCCACATTTTCAGTAGCTTTGTTCTCTTGTTTTTCTTCCCGTCATTCGTTTGTCTTCACGAAATCAGGACCCAACGCATTAGTTCTTCACCTCATTCAATCAACGGTTTCTCATCAACGATAAAAACAATCCTAGAGCACAAATAGTATTGTGCACTCTTCATCTGACCAGTAGCTTAGTTGTTCTGTCTCCTTCCCGGCATTTGTTCCTCTCAACAGATTCAACAATCGACTTGGATACACAGTTGTTTTTAGTGCGTTTTTGAACTGGAAGCATTGTGTGTCACCGCATTATTTTCATCGCACTTATGCTTAAATGAATCGTCTTTATCAAGGATCAGCGCACTTTCAGAGCATAAACTGTGTGCACTAATCTTGAGTAGTTTAGTTTCTCGTTTTCATTACTTTTCATTGCTTATTTTTTTGTTACTATTACGTTAATATCCATTATCCGATTGCATTATGAGCAATCGTACAAGCAGCATTTCACGTACTATCAGTACTGAATCTGTTGCTACAAATGATACTCCTCAGCGCTCCAACATCTCAGAATCAAGCAACATTCCTTCCTCAGTGAAGGTAAGAGTCAGCATCCAGGGCTGCACAGCATCCGGGACGAGATGCATCGTATGTAAGAAGGCTAAGAAACTGACTCATATATCTCCTATGGCGAGAACACAAATATTCATAGACAGAGGTATACTCATTCCGCCAAATGCTCGATGTTGTATGAGACACTTGGAAAATGATTTTCTCAGTAAAACAGCAACAGATGATATCGAAGTAAAGTCAAACTATTCGATTCTAGACGATAAAACTCTTTGTGGGTTGTTACAAAACTTACGTTCAGTTGCTTCTCGGAAAGGACTTAATTTTGATTATCCACCTGCTCTTACTGATGACGATTATTATAATCTGACCGGGTTGAAGAAAGATCAATTCGACTCCGTTCTTGCTTCAATCTCTGGTTATATTACATCTGGACGTTCTCCTCGGACTTGTCTTGCCTTGCTTTTAATGAAACTATGTACTGGTCTTTCCCTTTCAGTTTTGTCTACCTTATTCGCTCTTCAAAAGAGGAGAGTAGGTAGGGCGATAGCTGCAGCTCGTACTGCTCTCCTTTCAATGTTTGTCTCGAACTTTTTGGGAACAAATTATATCTCTCGAGAAGATTTTATCACAAAGTATACGAGAACCATGGCTAAAACGCTCTTCGCAGGTGGAGAGGATGTCTGTATCCTTGTAGCCGATGGTACGTATATGTATATAGAGAAAAGTTCTAATTACAAGTTCCAGAGACGAACTTTTTCACTCCACAAAGGACGTTCACTAGTAAAACCTATGATTCTTGTAAGTTCAACAGGATACATCTTAGAAGTTTTTGGACCTTACTTCGCGGATGGTAAAAATAATGATGCAAGCATTTTGACCAGCATAATGCGATCTGACGCGAGCAGGCTCCGATCTTGCTTGCAACCTAACGATGTTTTCGTGGTGGATCGTGGTTTCAGAGATTGCCTCGAGATGTTGGAAGATCTAGGTCTCATAACTAAAATGCCCCATTTCCTCCGAGAAGGTTCGCAACATACTACATCTGAAGCCAATGAATCACGCCTCGTGACTAAAATACGCTGGGTGATAGAAGCGGTTAACGGTCTCCTTAAGAAGTGGAAAGCATTAGATCATGTATTCTCAAATTCTCAGATACCGTATGTGGGAGATTACGTGCGCATTGTATCCGCTCTTTGCAATGCTTTCAGACCATCGAGAATCAGTGACGATCCAAATGATACAATCATTGCTGAGCGTATGTTGCGTCTATCGCAAATGCCGAACCTCCTCCAGGAAAGAGTTGAAAGAGAAGGTTGGTCCAGGAAAAGGGTGTTGTGGCAACCCGTAGTTGCGGATTCAATCCCTGATTGCCCTCAATTGACCTTACACGAGTTGATTCATCTGACCATTGGCTCATATCAATTGAAACAAGCGCAATCTTATGCAGAGGAGCACACAACTGGAGATGGGATGTATTAACTGTTCGTCCATAGGCAAGAGAGAAATATCTTACATCTCCAGATACAATCGCGCCATACATCATCGAAGGTGTATAACTTGTGGATTGAATATAGTCAAGGAATCAATCCCATCATTTCCTGGTACTGCCAATGCAAGGTCGGTGTTAGAACCGTTGGTTGTTGTGCACATGTCGCATCCGTCCTTTGGTATTTGGGGTATTTAAGACACTCTGAAAGACTTCAAAAACGACCATCACAATCCTACGCACAATACATCCAAGATGCAGCTGAGAACATTTCAGACTGGTCTGACAATGAGTCAGTTGAAGATGGCCATCAATCTAATAACGAATAATCTTCTAATTGAAGATTTTCCGGCGCCTACTCCCAATTCCTCAATCATTGACTGTTCACTTTCTCATTGTGAATTCAGAGAATATTGTAAACCCTATTGATTTTTGAGATTTCAAGTTGCCCATTCTCAGCCTCTAATTGCTCGGACAGCAAACGGTTCTAGGAGGTTGTGAGCTACATCGGCAGGAAGAAAATACCACACTTTGGAGTGATTCTGACGTGGGCCAAAAAACGACCTTATTGACATCCCTTCTTTACTGCTTCTTTAACAGTGAACCCGCCAACGTATAGAAGATAATTTACCTGAAATAAAATAAACGTAATTGTATTTATTACAATGTATTTATTTTAAAAAATTTATATATTGTATATTGTATATTGATTTATATATTAAAACTTACCACTTCATCATAAATCTCCTCATCAACATTTTCAAATTCTTGTATATCTTTTTCTGTGGAAATTGGTAAGCATGCTATTTTTTTTGTAATTCGACGTCGATCTTGAACATATTTTAATATACGTTCTACGTTATTATTCAATTTCCTGCAAACAATATAAATAAATACAATTATTATATGTAAATTGTCATATAATATAACATTGTAATATACATATATACATATATACAAGATAATTATTACAAATGTATTTAAATTAAATGATACTTCATAACATATAAAATGAACAAAAGAAAAAAAACATTTTGTAAATGAGATATCTTTTTTATTATTCTAAATATGAAAAAAATATATAATATTTTAATAATTTAAGTACACATATTATATAAAAGAAGAGCAAAATTTTGCTTCCACATAAAAACTAATATGTTTTCAAAATAATATTGTCAGAATCGACACAAAACTATAATCGTTTTTGAAATACATTGTTTAACATGAGTATTGAAGTTTTCGACTGTAGAAAGGCTCACGGCCTTTATATAATGTTCGTATCATTAAGGCGATTTATGGTATAGTATTTTTTGAGCGCATTTTTAATGTTATTTACATTCTACTTTCGTGATTGGAAAATTTTGCCAATTTTCAAGATTTTTTTATAATAAAATGAAAACACTTGCAGTTCTGTATCGAATGTAATGAACATTTTGATAACATATATGTTGTTCTTTTTATTAGTTTATTCGCAAGTAAATTTTTTGCCTCTTTTTCATATGTATATAATATGTATTTATTAAAATATTATACATATATTTCTTTTCATACCTACATTAAATAAACAAATAAAAAAATAAACAATTAATGTCTCCTTTATTAAATGTTTTATTTTTGTTTAGTTTATTTGTTGTGAAGTAATAACCATTTAATTTTTTTTTATTAGACATTTCCAATGATTATCTTGTGTATTATTATTACTACATATATTGTTATATATTATTTATTAAACTAGCTTTAGTTGAGCTTCTATAGCATCCAGTCGTTGCTCATTTAAATCGTTCTTCCTAAAAATTAAATATATACATATACATACATACGTACACACACACACACACACACACACACACACACACACACGCACGCACGCACGCACGCACGCACGCACGCACGCCCGCACGCACGCCCGCACGCCCGCACGCCCGCACGCCCGCACGTCCGCACGCCCGCACGCCCGCACGCACGCACACCACACACACACCACACACACACCACACACACACATATGTATGTGTGTGTAGGATATAACTAAAAAAACATATATACATATAATGACAAATTTTCTGGCCAATTTGGGAACAATTTTTCTTCAGTGAAAATGTCGAAAGAAGTCATCATCTTTTGCAAACTTTCAATTTTTGCTACTGTTGGGTATATTGCGCCCTTCATCCGGTGAGCGTGAATCATACATGACTGCATCGACTGCATCACCCGGATCGGAATGTTCGGAACAATAGAATCACGACGATGATGCATATGACACGACCTTGGCACAATGATGCATATGACACGACCTTGCATACGGCACCACAGTAAGAAGAAGCTTTAAAAGGCCGACCGAGAGACGGATCGTTGGAGAAGCATAGGTATGGCCGACGTGTACGGAGCTCAACGTAGTGCTCGAATCTACTACTTCGGACTCTTCGCGGAATCGAGACATAGTATCAAGACACAACGACGTTAAACATTATTCGTGAACTAACGAACAAACACAACAATTTGCACTCCGAAACACAACAAAAGCACAGCAATTGGCGCTGCGGCTTATTGAACCTGCAAGAAAATGGACCGACTACTTCAAGCGCTAGCAGAAGCTGCGCTAAGCCAGGAGCACACATTACGTCAGATCAGGGAGTCACAAAAGCAAATCGGTGAATCACAAAAGCAAATGACAGAGATACTATCACATCGAATATCGGGAACGGACGATACTGCAAAGTCGTCGCAATTCGCAAATCTGGCTACACGGCTCGGTAAATTCGTTCATGACCCGGCAAGGGGTAAAACTTTCACGTTGTGGTTTGAACGACATAGAAGCACTTTCGCGGAAGGAGCGAAGGGTTTAACCGATACGGAGGGAAAAGAGCTACTTCTTAATGCTCTCGGGGACGAGTATCAACAATTACTCAGTCGTTTATCGTCGAAGAAACCACAAGAGATGTCTCTTGCAGATCTCGTGCAACATCTTCGAAAACAGTTCCACGATAATAAAACGTTATTTCAACGTCGTTTTGAAGCTCTCAATTTTCGTGCTTCCCCGCTAACAACGGCTATAGAAATACTTGACAAAGTAAATGTTTTGGGAGATGCCTTTGAGCTCGATAATTTCAATATCGACCAGATCAAAATTCTACTAACGGCTCTCGCCCTAAGCGACCACACCTACTACACGGAGCGAACAGTCCTCTTCAAGGTTGCATCAGAAAAAGAAAACTGCACATTTCAAGACATTAGAGAAATCTGCTACGCACATGCGAACCGCACGGCTGACGTCATGCGTGTTGAAGGACAGCGCTTCTTCGAAATCAACGCGGTCAGCCAATCTACGAAGAATTCACCTAAAAAGAAAGGTAAATATTACGAAAAGAAAACAAATCCTACTACACTACATTACGAGAAAAAGAGAAATTCTACTACATTATCGCCATGCTATGGCTGCGGTTCCACGAAACACAGACGGGATGCATGTCCGTTTAAGAATGCAACGTGTAGAATCTGCAAGAAAACGGGACACATTGCTAGAGTTTGCTTATCAAAGCAACGAAATAAAATAAATACTGTCACATTACAAGGTATTCTAGGCACAGGACATCGATATCGCAAATTCGCGCATATTACTATCAATAACAAGCCATTGAAAATGCAGCTGGATACAGAAGCGGACGTAACTACGATCGGGAGAGAAACTTGGACACGAATCGGTCGTCCAAAACTCCAATCGCTTACTACTTCATGTGTGAATGTTTCAGGACATCCACTGCATAACATAGAATTTTTAACGCCTTACTTGGCTACAAAGACTGTATGATAAAAGCACAAGTCATCGTACTTGATCATCCAGAAACTGCACTACTTAGCTCTCAAGCAATAGATGAGCTTGGCTTAATTACCTACGATACAGGAGTCGTCGGAAATCTGCAAACGATGAATACGATTACGGTAAATTTATTTCATAAACAATTCACAGAACTTTTTAGTAGTTCCACAGGTGAATGCACCAAGATGACAGTTCATCTGCGGCTTAAACCAGATGCGAAACCGAAACATATTCCACGACGTCTGATCGCACTTGCATTAGAAGAACCAGTCAATGAGGAACTGGATAGACTCGTTAAAAGTGGAATTTTAACGCCAGTCGACTTTTCGGAATGGGCGGCGCCCATAGTAGTTGCACGCAAAGTAAATGGAAAAATACGTATTTGTGCAGACTACTACAGGATTAAATGACGCACTTGACGCGGAGGATTATCCAATCTCAGGGATAGAGGAACTTATGGCAAAACTTCGAGGAAGTTCTATCTTCTCACAACTAGATTTATCTGATGCTTATTTCCATCTAAGACTGAATGAGGAAAGTAAGAAGCTAACTACAATAAATACTCATCGAGGTTTATTTGCTTACAATCGGTTGATTTTTGGATTAAAACTAGCTTCTGCAATTTTCCAACGTACGCTGGAACAGGCACTTACAGGTATTCCAGGCGTACTCGTCTATCTTGATGATATTCTGATTTATAGTCAGGAACGCACAGAGCACGATACGCGTTTACACGCCGTGCTAAACCGCTTACAAGAATGGGGTTTTCGACTCCAAAAGGAAAAATGTAAATTTCATAGTTCAATAGTTAAATACCTTGGATTTATTGTTTCAGCTAAAGGTATTGAGCCTGACCCAGCACGTCTTCGACCTATTCAAACAATGCGAGCTCCGACGAATGCAAAAGAGATACGCTCGTTTTTAGGTCTGATTAATTACTACGGGAAATTTGTACCAAATTTGCATCGACTCAAAGCACCATTCGAAGCTTTGATCAAGAAAGATGTACCCTTCGTGTGGACAGCAAAAATGAAGAAAACGTTTGAGGATATTAAAAATATTTTTACTGGACCACTTCTACTAGCGCATTACGATCCCAGACAAACTCTGATCGTTGCAGCAGACGCTAGTTCGATTGGAATTGGTGGCGTCTTGTTACAGCGCGCCCCAGATGACCAGGTAAAAGCAGTCTTTCACATGTCAAAAGCATTGACAAAGACTCAACAGAATTACAGTCAAATCGAAAAAGAAGCTTTAGCATTAGTCACTGCTGTTGAACGTTTTCGAAAATTCGTATATGGTCGTCACTTCGTGCTACAAACGGACCATCGTCCACTTCTAGCCCTGTTTAAAACGTCGAATACAAAAGGTCTAGATACACGCACAGCAAATCGTTTGCAACGATGGGCTCTTCGACTAATTGGATACGACTTTGACATAGAATATGTCAACTCCGAGAAATTTGGTCAAGCGGACGCTCTTTCAAGGTTAATACAGGACTTAATAGACGCCGATCTCGAAGAAGTTGTAGCTGCGCTACAGGAAACGGATACAGAGCTACAACAGATTGTCAACGAATCAGTACAGTTCTTACCTTCAACGGCTCGGCAAGAGCTCTAGAGTGCAACATTCAGCGATGGAAATCTCGCTGAGATTATAGATCGTCTACAAAACGGATGGCTTAAATCAGACGTAACTGACAAGGAGTTAATGCCATATTATTGTCGTCGCGATTACTTAGCCATAGTTGATAATACATTAGTTCTAGATGAAAAACTAATAATTCCTAAACGTCTACAATCTACTGTACTGAAGCAACTACACATTGCACATCCAGGTATCCGCCGGATGATACAGCTTGCTCGACGTTATTTCTATTGGCCAGCGATGCATGATGACATCGAGAGATACGTAAAAGAATGTAATCATTGCGATCGCACAGCAAGCAACCCAGTAAAAGAACCATTACATCCATGGCCAAATCCAGAGAAATCATGGTCACGCATGGCCTTCACATTGATTTCGCAGGTCTGATACATGGACAATGGGTACTCGTCATTGTCGACAGCTACTCCAAATTCGTAGAAGCAGGATGGTTCTCAACAATAACATCGGCAGCAACATGTCGATATCTGCGAAGACTCTTTAGTAGATATGGACCTCCTGAAGTACTAGTTTCAGATAACGGTACTCAATTCACTTCAGTAGAATTCGCGCAACTGTGCGCCGAATTTCGAATTCTTCACCTGCGTACTCCTCCTGGGCATCCACAATCAAATGGTCAAGCCGAGAGAATGGTCAGAACATTGAAAAGTTCTATCGACACAAGTAAAAGTTCACAATTAGAAACGGAATTAAACAAGTTTGTTTACGTATACAACTACACACCCAGTGATGCGGTCTCCAGCAGAAATATTCCAGATCATAAGTCTCCAGCAGAAATATTCTTTGGACGTAAGCTTAGAACTCCATTAGATATGTTTACTGCAACCGAAAAACCTAATCTAAATCTTACTTCTTAGCAGAAACAAATGAAACAGCAATTCGACGCTCATCACGGCGCAAGGCCACGTTCATTTGTTATAGGTCAATCAGTACTAATTCAACTCTCCAATGGACAGCGTATTCCTGGTAAAATTGTTAGGCTGATAGGGAAAGCACTTACTCGCGTCAGCTTTGAAGGAGGATTCATTACTAGACATTTCAATCAAATATGGAATCGTCCAAAGAGACAGGAAAAAAAATCCAATACGATTAGCGAAGATCTACTACCCTCCGGGAAAGAATCAGCACGGATTCAACCAGATCCAGTACTTCACACTTCGCTAAGAGAAAGAGAGGAGGCGGAACCTCTCAGTAACGGAACCACACAACTTCCAGTAGCATCTGCTCGTCGTTCTGAAAATCCTTCCGGGGCCACACAACCTCCAGTAGCAGCGGCTCGTCGTTCTGAGCGTCTTTCGCATCAAATTCGACCAGATTTCAAGGCATTGGGAGGAACTCGCCCCTACCGAGGACAGCATTCTTAAGCAAGGGAGGAATGTTGAGTATGTTGCTCCCTTCATCCGGTGAGCGTGAATCATACATGACTGCATCGACTGCATCACCCGGATCGGAATGCTCGGAACAATAGAATCACGACGATGATGCATATGACACGACCCTGGCACGATGATGCATATGACACGACCTTGCATACGGCACCACAGTAAGAAGAAGCTTTAAAAGGCCGACTGAGAGACGGATCGTCGGAGAAGCATAGGTGTGGCCGACGTGTACGGAGCTCAACGTAGTGCTCGAATCTTCTATTACTTCGGACTGTTCGCGGAATCGAGACATAATATCAAGACACAACGACGTTAAACATTATTCCTGAACTAACGAACAAACACAATTTGCACTCCGAAACACAACAAAAACACAACAGCTACTATATATTTCTGTAATGAAAACTTTAAATTAAAATTTTATTATAGCAAACTTAACTTAAAATGAACTAAAGAATGTAATTATGTTAATCTATTTATTCCACAAAATTTAGTTTATGAGAAATCTGTTTTTTAAATCATTTATAACTCAAAAATTATTGATATCTCAACATTTTTTTTAAGGAAAAATACTGTCCAAATTAGCCAAAGAATTTTCTATTATATGTTTTTTTCACATATATATATACAGGGTCTACCAAAAGTGTGGAAACCCCTAAATATCTCGGAAAATATACGTTTTACAGAAAAGTGTTTCCAACAAAAGTTGTAGGGTTTAAGAAGATCTATATACTGATTCTATCAGTTTGACCTTGGATGGCGTCGTCAAGGTCAGGTCAAGGTCACATTGACTTTTTTAAATGACACCCCCTACATTTGATTGCATATTCTTATAGCTTAATTCAAGAGCTTTCCAAAACACTATAATAATGTTCATTTTTATTAAGTACTTTGCGAGTTATGAGGGTTGAATGATAGAGTAGCGCCGGTATTAACATTATCCAAGGTGTACTACATGGAGGTTACTCGCTCGGATTTGCATCTGTTGTGTGTGTGATCCAGCTAACTAAGGCAAGATCGGTCGTGGATCCAGTCAGCAAAAGCAAAGACCCAACCAAATTACAATCGAGCATTTAAAGACCTGGAAAGCAATCGACATAGTAAACAGTAAATAAATTTGTGGATGCTCATTTATCATAATAATTGTTCGAAATGTGTGCGTGTGCGTGCGTGCGGTGCGTGTATACAGAGATCAGGTTAGGTTGCACCAAACGATTGCAAATGTGTTTCAATGTGTTAAAGTAAATGCTGAAAGTGGCTGCCATTTACTTCCTGACAATATGCTAATCTTTGGTAGAATGTAGAAATGACTTTACGATTCGTTTCAAAAGGTATCAAAGCCATTTCATCCCTTATTCGCTGTATCAATTCGTGAATGGTTTTAGGTTTTGTTCTGTAAACCTTACTCTTCAGATATCCCCATAGATAATAATCAAGAGGAGTTAGATCTGGTGACCGAGGTGGCCAATCCTCTCTCCCTCATTTCCGTTCCTTCTTCCTATCCACCGTAGCGGAAAAGTCTCATTTAAAATACGACGTGGTCCTGCACCAAAATGAGCAGGAGCTCCATCATGCTGAAACCATATTTCTTGGAAATTATTTGGAAAAGTATTCTGTATGGCTGGAATTATTTGATCAACAAGTAATCTCTCATACCTTTGAGCGTTCAAATATTCTTCAAAAAAAAACGGCCCTATTAAATAGCCATCTATTATTCCGCACCATACATTTATTTTTTGTGGATGTTGTGTGTGAGTTTCCCGCACCCAATTCGGATTCTCATCTGACCAGAAACGAAAATTTTGATTATTAACTTCTCCCGTTAAGGTAAAAGTTGCCTCGTCTGTGAAAACAATTTGATAAGGGAAGATGGGCCGGACATCTATTAGTGCCATCATTCTTTCACAGAAATGTATACGACGCTCCTCATCTCCGTTTTGCAATTCTTGAACGTATTGCAATTTATATGGATGGAACTTGTTCTTCTTTAAAATTCTCCAAACCGACATGGGAGCAATATCGTGAGTTTGAGCGACTCTCTGAACACTAGAATTGGGATCTTCAATAAATGTCTGCAGAACATCAAGTTGTTTTTCTTCGTTGGTTGCAGACAATGGTCTTCCTGACTTAGAGCGATTTCTTACGCTACCAGTTTGTCTAAAACGTTCTATTGTTTTTAACACAGTGGACTTATTAATTCGACGGTTCGGATACGTGTCATTAAATAATCGAACGACATCAGAGAACGATCTTTCGTTATCACCCCATCCACGCATCATGAGGATAGTGATTCTTTCACGTTCCGACAAGTCGCCAGCCATTTTTAAAACGTTTAATTTTAATTAATCGTACGTTGTATTTGGACGATAACAATTAATTTCTGCTTGCTCAAAGCTGAAGTTAGAAGGTGCTCGTTCTTTGATAGCTTTATACATTCTTAGTTGAATTTTAAATGCGAGTTAGACTGCATGTAGTGCGTCACATAGCGGTAAATGAAGGAACTAACGAGACGTTTCATACACGTTTTATGGAGCAATTTTTTGGCAATTTGACTTCAGCGAAATATGAGGATATGTTGAGGAATCGATCTTGCCTTAGTTAGCTGGATCACACACACAACAGATGCAAATCCGAGCGAGTAACCTCCATGTAGTACACCTTGGATAATGTTAATACCGGCGCTACTCTATCATTCAACCCTCATAACTCGCAAAGTACTTAATAAAAATGAACATTATTATAGTGTTTTGGAAAGCTCTTGAATTAAGCTATAAGAATATGCAATCAAATGTAGGGGGTGTCATTTAAAAAAGTCAATGTGACCTTGACCTGACCTTGACGACGCCATCCAAGGTCAAACTGATAGAATCAGTATATAGATCTTCCTAAACCCTACAACTTTTGTTGGAAACACTTTTCTGTAAAACGTATATTTTCCGAGATATTTAGGGGTTTCCACACTTTTGGTAGACCCTGTATATACAGAGTGACCCATTTTAACTTAGGCAGCCAAATAACTCGAAAAATAAGCACACTACGAAAAAATGGTTAGAATCAAAATTTCGTCATTTCGAGGGGGACGTACAATGACGTTAAAATCAGCCCCCCATCCCCTCCCCCTGGGCGGTGAGGGGGGGCAAGTTTGAAATCTTAAATGGAACCCCCTATTTTTCATTGCATATTCTTGTAGCTTATCTCGAGAGCTTTCCAAAACACTACAGACAAATGTTTTTTCATTAAGTACTTTTTGAGTTATAAGGCTTCAAAGTTTGCAGTACTTCGATATAAAATGCAAAATATCTCGTAAAATATTTAGTTTTCGGTAGTCTTACCCTAATACTTTTATGCACAGGATAATGAGACAAAACTATTGGTGCAAAGAAAACGTATGATTGTTTATAATAAAAAATGTGTAATTTGCAATGCACTTTTTGTTATAAACAATCATACGTTTTCTTTGCACCAATAGTTTTGTCTCATTATCCTGTGCATAAAAGTATTAGGGTAAGACTACCGAAAACTAAATATTTTACGAGATATTTTGCATTTTATATCGAAGTATTGCAAACTTTGAAGCCTTATAACTCAAAAAGTACTTAATGAAAAAACATTTGTCTGTAGTGTTTTGGAAAGCTCTCGAGATAAGCTACAAGAATATGTAATGAAAAATAGTGGGTTCAATTTAAGAAATTAAAGGTGACTTTTATGTGACCTTCAAATGACTTTCCAAGGTCAAACCAATGCTACCATCTTATGTCCTCCTTCACACCCTACAATTTTTGTTTGAAACATTTCTTTCTGAAGAGTGCTGTTTTCGAGATATTCGAGTGTATTGATTAAAATGACTCACCCTGTATATATATATATATATATATATATATATATATATATACATATATGCTACAATTTCTTTTACAATAATCATCATATATTTACCAATTTTCTACATTGTTTTCTATGTGATATGGTTGAGGCTGAAATTTAGTGATATTATGTATTGTATTTGATCCATGTGTGTGTGTGTAGGTATATTTATGTGTGGATATAGATGCATGTGTAGATATAGGTGCATATGTAGATATCGGTGTATGTGAAGACATAGGTGTATATGTATATGTGAATGATTCGTGAGATGTAGATATAGGTGCTTGTGTAGATATCGATGCATGTGTATATGTAAATGATTCGTAAGGTGTTTGTAATTGTGTGTAAGAAGTGCCTTGTGATGATTAATAGATGTTGGTATGTATATGTTAGATTGTGCGTTTAATCGTCTGTAGTCTCTGTTTGTAAATATGGATTATTTAAATTATTATCATTAAACATTGTCGTGTTGTTTTCGTTTAAACATGCTCGCAATTCTTTTATACACCTCTATTAAGCTAGCAGGACCAAATTAGCAAAATCAAATCAAACCTATCAGATTATTTAGTACCTATTTTGTACTAATTTGTACCACTAATAATAATTTTGTA